TTCAAAAGGTTGGGACATTAGCTCTAGCTTCTTAATGCCATATGTTGAACTAGATTCCTTTGAGAAGTTTATGTGGTTAGGTTGTTTTATTATTGCTTCTTGATTGTCTTCTTTTTGTACCATGTTTTGCTCTTCTATGAGAGGAATTCTTTCAGCAAAATTGAAGGGTCTATTTATATGTGGTATGTTATTAAATTTGGACATTTTCAATACCTACTGATAAGTAACTTTGATTATCCTTTTTTGACATGTAACTGAACAGATATTGCTACTGGCACTCGTCTCATTCCAGTATGCCCTCCAACCTTCATTAAAGGTCAAGTTTTATCAGGTCCATGGAAAACTGCTCAATTCCCTAGAAGGGTAAATTTTCATCCGGGGCACTTGGTGACACAACGAAGTAAACTCCGGATCAGAGCAACTGCAACACTTGAACTCAATTGTTCTGTTCAGAAAGAAGATGGTTTTAATAATTCAAAGTTTGCTGTTGATTCAAGTCCCTCTTTGACACAGACTGAGTCTTGGAAAAAAGATTGGGTCAATTTGGATGAAAGAGAAAGATTGAGACGGATGAGAATTTCTAAAGCAAATAAAGGAAATACACCATGGAACAAAGGCAGGAAGCACAGTGCAGGTAACTAATTAGTAATTACTAATTGACCTTGACTCCTGCACCTGCTAGTTTGTTTACTTTTTATTTGCATATTGGTGTTACTGCAAATATTCTCTTCGTGTGCAGAAACTCGTAACCGGATCAGAGAGAGAACAAGGATAGCAATGCAGAATCCTAAGGTGATTTCATGTAAGAATATTTTAGGTGTGATCACGGATTGAACTTCATATGCTTTATGCTTGAATAAACAATTCTAAGATACAGTGAGGTCCATATGGAGCTATGGATGATTGGAGGACTATCAGCAATCAACTACTCTTTTGCTGGATATAGATCAAGGGAAAAGTAGAAGTGATAATAAAAGCAGACCATTTATTTATTTTTTTTATTTTTAACCCTATTCTTGAGCCAATGGAATAGAGTATTAACTTGACAATTATGATGTGGCATGAGGATAGTCGAAGGGTATCCTCTGTTTTGTACTAAACTTTAAATTACATCATATTGTTGTTTATTATCCTAATGATAAAATTTGGCCATGCAGATCAAAATGAAGCTAATTAATCTCGGTCATGCTCAGAGGTCAGTGCTAAGCCATTTGATCTTTATTTAGGATTTCATTTTGGGTTTTTCTAACTTATACAGGTTAAGAACACCTTTTTAGTATTAATTGTCCTTGTAAAAATAAAATTTGACATTTATTTAATCAACATCCAATTAAATCGATACATGTAGCATTGGTGATAAAATTAATGTCAGCTTTTGTTATTTTCTATAATAAGTAATATTAAAAAGGAGTATTAATTACACCCTTAACCTATGCCCTTAATAAATCCTTTCATTTTTAAGTTAACCATCTTTCTCTAATAATTCCAAGAAATCTTTCCAACTTGAAACTCCTTTGTTGGCTTGGAGTTGGGATTTGAACAATATACATTATTTTCATTTTTTTTTTTTGAGTTTTTACCTCTTGATATTTAATTTTGCTTCCTTTAACGAAACTACAGTAAAGAGACAAGGTTCAAAATTGGAATTGGAGTGAGAATGGGGTGGGAAAGGCGTCGTCAGAAGTTGATGCTGCAGGAAACTTGCTACTTTGGGTGGCAGAACTTAATTGCAGAAGCTTCTAGAAAAGGCTTTCTTGGTGAGGAAGAGCTCCACTGGGATTCTTACAAGATCTTGGATGAACAGCTTCAGAACGAGTGGTCAGAGATTGTCAAAGAAAGGAAAAGCATACCACAGCCTAAAGGTAGCAAGAGAGCACCAAAATCCCCTGAACAAAGAAAGAAAATTGCAGCTGCCATTGCTGCCAAATGGGCTGATCCTGTAAGTGCTTATACAAAACATGCATGTTCTAAGCTTTCTGTGGTGGGAGCAATGTCTTTAGGAGTTGAAGGTCTAATAAAATCCTGCTGGTGCAAAGTTTGAAAGAAAGGATTAATAATAATAAATATAGGAAAGAAAGAAAGAAAGAAAAAGGAAAATTTTCACTCTAATACCAGCATAAGAAAGGAGAAATGGTTTCAATGCTAAGATGTTATCAAACATGGATATGATTGTTTTTTAATCCACTCTTGTCAGGCCCATTTCTATAGAGGAAAGCTATATTTGGAGATTTCTATCAATCTCCATAGTGTATGGTCAATGAAACACATGCTTCGCCATTTTCCCAGGTTTTGGATCATTTGAACTGCAGTCTTGTTATTCGGCTGTTGTTTTTCATTTCTGACTCTTGCAGATATAGTTACTGAACTTAAGTTTGGCATCTCAACAGAGGTTTTCTTTTTCTCATTCTAATGTATTTTCTGCTTCTGATTAGACATACCGGGAGCGAGTTTGCTCTGGCTTGGCAAGGTATCATGGCATAACGGAGGGAGCTGAAAAGAAGCCAAAGAGAAAGGCAAGTGGCAGTACACAGTCAAGAAGAAAGAGCCCCACAAAGAACAAAGCTAATGATCCAGACAATTCTTCTAGTACTAAGACTGAAACCCCAATTGAGCGAAGAAGGTCACATAGACGTAATGCACCCATGTATAAGGATCCTATGGCAAGTTTCAAGCTAGAAATGATCAAGAACATAAGAGCACAAAGAGTGGCTGCAGAATCTAGGATAACTGAAACCATTGAACATGCAAGGTTAGTTAATTGTTCTTCATCTATGCATACACTCATGTGGGTGTCTTTCTATTTTCATGCATTAACACTTGATATCTGTTCTTATATTATATGAAACTCTTCAGGCTTTTGATTGCTGAAGCTGAGAAGGCTGCAAAAGCCCTTGAGATTGCAGCAGTAAAAAGCCCTGTTGCTCGAGCTTCTCTCATGGAAAGTAGGAAGCTTATAGCTGAAGCAATTCAATCAATAGAATCCATAGAGGGAACTGATGTCACATCTAATGAGACTGACAGACATCTCTCTGTTCACTCAACTGAACTAACTATTGAGATTAACGAAGAGATGGGATCAGGAAGTGATGGTTCAATCCAAGCTGACCAAAAAGAAGTCAATGGCAGACAAACCGTTTCTGTAAGTGAAAGCAAAGACTTCAGTTTTACTAATTTCACTTTACCGAGGATTGTGAATGGTGAGGAGAAATTTCTGCTTCCAAGCTTAAGCAATCATGTTTCATCATCATTGAACTTGGAAGATCTAATAAAGCTAGCAGATTCATCTAAACAACTTGATCAGTTGAAACCAAACGGGATTGACACAAACAAAAAGATCAATGGAGCCCATTTTCAGGTAAAGGAGGATGAAATTCCTTCTAAACCTGTCACTGTAACCAAGAAATGGGTTCGTGGGAGGCTTGTTGAAGTGACAGAAGAAGATTCTTAAAAATTGATGAGATTTTCCCTGTGCTTCCTCAACATGCAGCTGATGTGCAGCAGTTTGTTATTGTAGCTGTTTTATCCTGGAATCTGGCAATCTTAATGCTTCAACTTTACTTCCTAGGATTATCTTTAGTAAGTATAATTGACAGCTTTTTTTGTCATCTCTGCCTTGTCCATAGTTGTATCAGTTGGTAGTTTACCAGAGTTTAATGTAACATTACTATTTTGGTTAACTTAACTTCCTTCCCCTTGATTTCTTCTATATATCTTGTCTTGCTTGTAACCATTTATGCAAACATCCAGAATTTTACAGGCTATGATTAAAAGATAATGGCAGATTTTCTAATTTCTTCCATTTCTTTTGCCAATAAATCAAGAATTTTACTAAACGGAGTATAATAATTATTCCAACCCTCATAAATTTATTACATACAAAAACATTACATTTTTTGAGAATAGCATTTTGTTATATTCCATAATGTGTTTAAATAAACTTAAAATCATTTTTGATTTATTCAATTAGAAAATGTTACTGAATCCCATTAAAATTGGGTCTACTTCTCTCAAAAAAGGTAAAAAAAAGGAGTTTGGGGGGTTCAATTGATAAACAACAAAATTTAGAGGCTAACTTGAAGGGCTAATTTGAAATTCTTCCCTTAGAAGATACAAATCATTGTTTCAGTTGGATCGGAGCCGGACTGCCAACCAGTCCGAACCTTTACTGGGCGGGTAACAGGTCTTTTTCTTCCACCCACCGTCTCTGTTTCATCAACTTTGATATTTCCCCCTCCCCTTCCCCCTCCGGCAATTCCACGCCTTATCATCGCCAGAACCGAATCATTCTTTATTATAACATTCTTTCAGTCAATTTGTTCATCGCCGACGGCGACGAGTTTCCGTTTTCTGTTACCAATTTGCCATTACTCGCTCAGTCACTCAGTGACTCACTCACTCACTCACTCGAAGTCACTGACTCCCTTGTAAACGGACGATGGACAGAGATTCCTACGACGAAGATGACGATCGTCAAAACTTAATCCACCAAAACGATACCAAACAGCTGCCGCATCACCTCCCCACTGGCACGAATTCTACCTCCAGTCCAAGATCCACCTTCCACATCGATGACATTGAGTCTCAAATTCGCCGCCGTTTCAAGCTCAACCTCAACAAGCGTTACCTCATTGCCGTGTTACTTCCTCTGCTCATAATCGTGATATACTTCTCCACCGACATTCGCTCCCTCTTCTCCTCTAATATCTCTTCCCTGAGATTCGATTCGGTTACAGATCGAATGAAGGAATCTGAATTGCGCGCTCTTTATTTGTTGAATCAGCAGCATTCTTCGCTTCTTTCTCTATGGAATCGCACGTCTGTATACAACAACATTTCATCCGTTCAATTTGATGATATCAAAGATGGTTTGCTCAAGCAGATTTCATTGAATAAAAACATTCAACATGTACTGCTGTCACCTTACCGGACCGGAAATTTGTCGGCAGAGCTCGGCAATAGCAACGTTTCGGACACTTCTTTTGGCGGGTACGGTTTTGACAGGTGTAGAAAAGTGGATCAGAGGTTTTCAGAGCGGAAAACGATTGAATGGAAGCCCCAATCCAACAAGTTTTTGCTTGCGATTTGCGCTTCGGGACAGATGAGTAATCACTTGATCTGTCTAGAGAAGCACATATTCTTTGCTGCATTGTTGAATCGCGTACTGGTTATACCGAGTTCAAAGTTTGATTATCAGTACAGCAGAGTGTTAGACATTGAGCATATTAACAGCTGTTTGGGAAGGGAAGTCGTGATTAGCTTTGAAAAATTTATGGAAACCAAAAAGAATCATCCTCACATTGACAAGTTCAGCTGTTATTTCTCGTCACCTCAGCTGTGCTATCTGGATGATGAGCATGTAAAGAAGTTGAAGGGTTTGGGCCTTTCTATGGGGAAACTTGAGGCTCCTTGGAAGGAGGACGTAATGAAACCCAGCAAGAAGACGGTACAGGATGTGGAGGCTAAGTTTAAGTCTGATGTTGATGTGATTGCAATTGGAGACGTGTTTTATGCAGACTTGGAGAGTGAGTGGGTGATGCAGCCTGGTGGCCCGATTGCTCATAAATGCAGGACTTTGATAGAGCCAAGCAATCTCATTTTGTTGACAGCTGAGCGATTCATTCAGACTTTCTTGGGGAAAAACTACATTGCTCTTCATTTCAGGCGACATGGTTTTCAGAAGTTCTGGTATGTCTTCCCTCTTCCTGTATCTTCATCATTTATAAATTGAAATATTTAAAGTATAGCAGAGACAGGCCTAGTATTGTAATGACTTAATGAGATAGTGCATGTATTAGAATTTGGAGGGTGGGTATGTCCTCTAACTGTCTGCAGCTGAATCTCTGATTTTTATTGGGTTTTTAATAGGGGGTTTCTGTTTCTTTTTAACTGCATAAAAGATGCACTTTAAATGCATCTATAGTGCAGTCCTGCTTGCAACTTGTTTTGCAATCAAGAACATTCACTCTTTATGGACAGCATGTTATAAAAAAGATGTAATATAGTAATTTTTATTCACTCTTTGTATGCAACTTAGCATGTAATAATTGAAATGATGCCTGCACTTATTTTGCTTCAGATGGAAATATGTGGTGTGGATGGTGTCTAGAATTTTTCTGTTTTGGAAAGTATTTTGATATAATTCAGACCATATAAGCCTTGGTTTTAAATTCTCAATATCTGAACGACAATTTAAAGGGTACTTACATTTTCTTCATTCATAACCTCATCCTGGATGAGTATGATCAGTACGGTACACCTTTTTATTGAGTGACATTCCTAAAGTGGTATAAGACTGCATCAGCGATTCTTTTCTTTTCCCTAGTTTTTTTATGAAACTCTCTCTTTTTTAGTTGCAAATGTGACAACTTGGGTTGCAATATGCTTAAAGTGCAAATTTAGGTTTTTCCTTGATAGAATGAATTTCCCTGCTATAGTGACAGAACAATTTAAATGTATGTAGCTTACAGTTGCATGCCTTTATCAAATATCAACATATAGAAATGGGTGCATCTCTCTGTGTGATTTATAAAATCACTGTCACAATCCAGTGCCACTTATCTAATGACTCTTGCTTATTTGATCAGCAATGCTAAAAAGCCCAGTTGCTTTTACCCTATTCCCCAAGCTGCGGATTGCATCACCCGGGTGGTTGAAAGGGCAAATACACCGGTTATATATCTTTCCACAGATGCAGCTGAAAGTGAAACTGGCTTGCTGCAATCACTGATTGTGCTAGATGGGAAGACTGTGCCACTTGTTAAACGACCCCCTCGTGATTCAGCTGAAAAATGGGATGCTTTGTTATATAGACATGGCCTTGAAGAAGATCCTCAGGTGAGATTGTGAATTTCTTTCTATTTTTACACCTCTCTTTCACTTTTTGCTGAGATGAAGTTGTGTGTGATTCTTTCCATTTCATGTTTATTGTTTCTGTGGACCTTTCAGAAGTTCATTACGTTGGGGAGAACATGAATTTTCTATGTTCTAGATGTTCCTGTTAATTTATTCTGTTCAAATATTAGAATATGCAGAGCATATTGTCATTGCTTGCAGTTGATAAATTTCAATTTTAACAAGTTCAGTGGGTATCACCTGCACCATCTTGAGCATACTAGAGAAAGTTCTCATCCCCATACGTTATATGGAATCAATTTTTTTGAATGCACCCTGGCATGAGAAGTTTTTGAAGCATTTTGTAGGGATAATGCAAGACTATCCAGATCAACCATAAGGCATCTGAAATGAATTAAACCCTTGTACTAGCCATTTTCATTACTCTTTGCTGTCCATCTAACTCTATGCACTTAACTTTCATCTTGAAGGTGGATGCTATGCTGGATAAGACAATCTGTGCCATAGCCAGCGTCTTCATTGGAGCTTCTGGGTCTACCTTCACAGAGGACATTCTGCGGCTCCGAAAAGACTGGGGAAGTGCCTCACTATGTGATGAGTATTTATGCCAAGGTGAAGAGCCAAACTTCATCGCAGGTGATGAATAAAGAAGCAGCAGAAAAAATGGCTGCCTGGCGAATTCATTTTAAGTTGCCTCCACTATACTCTTTTCCTCCACTGCAGAAGATGGATGGTTTTGTGGATGTATTGTAGTGTATGATAAGAGCATTTAATTGATTATTAGTTTTATATATGTCATTCTTTCAATCTGACTGCTTTTGTGTTTTGTCTCTTAAATTCATTGTATTGTCACTTTGCATTTTTTTCATATAACAGGAATGGTCGTTACTCTTTTTCCAGCCCAATAAAAATGAATCTCCAAGGTACCATTGGTTACAACTGCAAGAAACTTTTTTATGATAGCCCTACCAACCCCTCCAGCTTCATCCACTATGTTGAAATCCTTATGCACCAGCTTGCCCTGCAATTGTATATTTAAACTACTGAACATTCCATGCAGGCGTATGTTGATTTTTCCTATCTTTTCTTTTCTTTTTTCTAGTTTAAACCAAACAACAAAAATGTAAAAGGTTTCGGGTCAAGATCAATTGTAGCTACCTAAATGTAAATATTGAATATGCGCCTCCCAAGCTGCTATTGAACCTATAGAAGCAGAAAAAAAACTAAAAAGAAGCCAAAATATAGTTTTTTTTTAATCAATATAATATTTCTAGGACATTAATATCTTAATGAGTTTTTACATTTCTTACATTAATGTGAATAACAAAATACAAAAACTAACTATAATTTCACCATTTATGTCTTGTGCATTAATTTTATTGAACAATTAATTAAATAAGATTTTCCTAATTCATGTTCTTATGGGACAAGTTAATGGTGCATTTAATGCACTTTTGACATTAAGTTTTATAAAAAAAAATACAAAAGCTAATTACAATTTTACCACCAATGCCATGTGAATTGTTTTAATTGATTTTTTTTTCTTTACATATCAAATTATAGGCTATACAACAAAAAATAATATTTCCTTTTTAAAACTCTCTTCACCTATTTTAATATTTGAATTTGAAATCTTTAATATAGAAATTCAAGCTCTTAATCACTAAGATATCTCTTAAAAAACTTTTATTGCTGGGAATTGAACCTAAGTTTAGGTGAAAGGTAGACATCTTAATTGCTTGACGACAAAAGAGTCGATGTTTTAATTGGTTAGTTAAATAAATAAATGTCAATTTTATTTTTTTAATACTAATTAATGTAAAAAACTTATTACATTAATTATATCCTTAAGATATTTGTTAGGAAAATTCTATTTCCTCTTCATTTCTATTTCTTTCTCCTTTCTTGACATGTTGAGGTTGTTTGATTTAATAGTTTAAAACTAATGATTAGTGATTTTATTTAATTTACTAATTGATAATTGTTATTATTAATAATTTAAATATTTTTATTTGTTAGAATTAATAAAATCAATAATTGCTAATTTTAAATTGTTATTTCAAATAGCCTCGTTTCATCTTCTTCCATCGGCCTTGGGAGCGACAGATTGGCATCAAAAGTTTTTGACCTTGGAAGTTCCCTTCGTGTGAAGTTTAGGAGGTTAATGTACTCATATTGTTTGTTAGCAGGCCAAAACACTCAAAGACAATAAATTTGAGGGTTCTTAGGTAGGGGATTAAGCTTTCTCAATTCGGCTCCCCAATAACATTCTTTTCGTTGCAATAACAGGATGGGGCCGTCTCATGCAGGCTTAATCCCCCCAGCCCCGCCAACTTCTTGTCTTTTGGGTGTTAGCCCCCAACACGCAATATATCGTTTTTGACACTCTAAGTCCTATAATTTAGAAAAATTGCCCTAATATAACGGTAGCGTCCACGTTGGCGTACCTCTTTGTAAACCCAAGACCAGTCTCAATGCCAGCTCAGCAAAAATGGACCAGTTATGTTGCCTACTTAGCTATTCTGGTCTCACCATAATAGCTACATAGACAAATTAAGGATCAACATACGTAAATAATTTTTTTTTT